CTTGGTTTATGTTCTCTCTCTGTCTATGACTGTCTATGTCTGTCTATCTCTGTTTCTGTCTCCTTCCGTCCCCACCCCGTCTTTTTCTCTTGAGTATGTGGATTCTGGTTATTATAACCTTTCCATATTGCCCCTATTATCCCTCAACCTCCCTACACGTCCACTTCCTGAATGCATGGAATTTTGTGTTATTATTGTTGGTGATTTGTTTTATTGTTTGTTTTATTTGGGGTTTTCTTGAGACCCGACTTTAACCAGGATCATATGTGTGACCACAGGTTTGTAACCATCCATTGGAGTTCTCCTCCTGGAGAATTGTCTTACCCTCGCTCTGTTAATGCATTTGATCTTTTCTGTAGCCTGAGTCTGCTTCTTCTTGCCTGCACCCTTTTATGTTCTGGTTATCATGGATTCTCTCCTGGTCTGGCAGTCCTTTGAGGATAAGATTTGTATTCTTATTCCACATAGTAATGCTAGGTTTATACATAAGAAGATTCACTCTCTAACTGTTGCTTGATACATTCTGACAAAAGACCTCACATGCATTTTAAGAGCGTTATTACTAAGTGTTTCATGTCTTTTGAGATTATTACAATATTGTTTTGTTTAAAATTTTATTTATCCTTAGTCAGTAGCAACAAATTGTTTTGTTATATTGACTGTGTTTCCTATTACTTTACTAAATGCACTTATTATTTCTAGTTCGAATGTTTTAGTATATAGAGGTTTAAAACTGAAAATTATGTTTTCTGTATATAAAGACAATTTTACATTTTCCAATGCAAACTGATTCTTTTCTTTATTTATTGCATTGATCTGAACCACCAGTGAAATGTGAATGTAAATGGAGAATAGACATCCAGACATCCTTGAATTGTCCCTATTTATATGGAAAAATCATTCAATCTTCAGTTTTAAACATGGAGTTATCTTTAGGATTTTCCAAATGTTCTTTATCAGATTAAGGAACCTACTTATTGTACTTTGATAGGCATATGTATACATAGATGCTGAAGTTTTATAAACTTTTTTTTCAAAAACTTCCCCATTTTATCTCAATGCTGAGAATGCTTTCCATGTTTTATGCATTGTGTGTGTGTGTGTGTGAGAGAGAGAGAGAGAGAGAGAGAGGATAGCATTAGTCTTTTGAAATCTGAAAGCCTGCCTCCAGTGACACACATCCTAATCCTTTCTCAGAAGTCCTACAAACTATTTACTATTAGTTGATAATATTACTAATACTAACCAGGTGTTGGTGGTGCACACCTTTAATCCCAGTACTTGGGAAGCAGAGGCAGGTGGATTTCTGTGAGTTCAAAATCAGCCTGGTCTACAAAGCAAGTTCCAGGACAGGCTCCAAAGCAATTCAAAGAAGCCCTGTCTAAAAAAAAAAAACAAAAATATTGCTACTACTAATATTATTAGTAGTATTAGACCAATTATTCAAACATATGAGCTTGTGGGGAGCATTCTCATTCAGACCACCACACTATGGTTAAGTTTAAAATGCACATTTAAGTTATTGATGTACAACCCCATGGATTTGGTTAACAAACAAAGCATAGATATGTTTTTGTTTATGTATCAAAATGAAAACATTCTTCAACCCTGAAAAAAAAGTTTGAATGTCGGAGAGAAGTAAGACAACTGCAGACACGATCAATCAAATGGGACAGTTACACCCTCTTGAGCCTCAGCTCCTCACTTGAGAGACCAGAACCACAGTCTTACCACTGTAATTGGTAAAAGAATTAATGAGCCCTGGGGTGAGGTGCCTCAGTGGGAAAAGGAGCTTGCCTCCCCCAACGTGAGAACCTAAGTTCATCCACACAACTCAGGCAGTGGAAGGAGAGAACCAATTCTCTCTCTGCTGTGCCCTGACATGCACATATGTACCATGACACATGCAGGCCCACACACGTACACATACAAAATAAATAAGACACGTAAAGGGAAATGCCTAGAATGAAGTAGACACTTGGCTAACTGCAGCGGTGACAGAAATGAAAGGGGGCAAGCCTGTAGTAGAAGGAAATCAACCTTCACTGACGAGGGAGCAACCTCAGCTTTAAAGTTATTGTATAAACCCCCTTCATGCAAATACCATCACTATCGCTGCCCAGAGGGCCTTGTTATGAGACTAATGAAAAGACTGAGGTTGTGGACCCAGCATGGGATATTTGAGTGTCGGTATGGCTGTGTGACATCATCACCTGTATTTTGTTATTTGAAGCATTGAAACTCAGACATGCTTCTTGACTCACCTTATACCATCCAGAAGTAACTAAGCCAGAGTGAAACCAGGAATATTGCCTGCATTGAGCTGGGTGGCACAATGGATCAGATATTCTAGCTGAGCTCCTGGTGTCTGCTCTACACACATTTCTAATGAATAGGCCCCTAGGTTTAATTAAGGAGAAAGGAGATTAATTGTTTCTCCCAACAGCTGCAAATTATTTACATTGCATTTGTGTTGATGGCTAATAAAAGAGCAAAGGAGGATAGGGACAGCCCAGGATGACTGTAATTCTTACAGAGTCCATAATGAAGTGCAGGTCTGAACGACAAAATATAAGAATGGATGAGCCTGCTGCCCCATGCATACCTGGAGTGGGCAGAGCTGCTCTCTGCTCTGAGCAGAATTCAATCAGCAAAAATGGATCTCAGGGGCTCAGACCTGAGACTTGCTGAGCATATATATATCCCTTCTACAGAAGACTGACACTCAATTTGCGATTGCTGGAGAATGGGTGAGAAATAGGATGATGGTGATTCAGGGTGTGGTTCCCCACTAATCCTGGGACAACTCTTAAGTGAACTTTCAATGGATAATGGATTGGGAAAGGGAAGGGGCAACAGAATTAATCAAAATTCTCTGAGTCCTTGATTATGACTCGGAAAGTTTTGTATAATCCATTACAGTAATGTGGTATTCCAGGAACTTTTTCTGGAGAGCTCTGAACAAACATCTATTCACCCTAGATGAGGCACCAATGACAGGTCAGGATAATGATTGCAATCAAATATCGCCTGGTGAATTAATGAATTTATTAAGCTTATTTGCAGCCGCATAAGTGATGGGTATTTACAGTAGGATATGAACCCCAAAGAGCCATGTCATTAAAAAAGTCTCACCTCAGCACAAAGGAAGACTTCCCCGTGATTGGATAGATGAAATTCCCCCTCCATTTAGTCTTCCACTCTCTACTGTAGTGCCTTTAGAGAGCACATGCACCTCGGGAAGAATTTCATGCCACGAGGAGAGGTGATATGAGGAATTAGGAATCTTTGGTGAGGGTCTAGTGATATGAGGTAACCTCAATATGTCCAACATGAGGGACTCTTGTGGATAATCACAGATGCTTTCATTTAGATGCTTATGGCTGTTATGCTATGAGAACAGTGTTCTGTAATACATGTGTTAGATGCATGAAATAATATATGTGTGTTTGTGTTTGTGAATATTTTTGGTATATGGTGAGGTGCTATAAGTTTTGGTTTTCTTGCCCATTGTGAAACATGTAGTTATTTTGAGATGTCACTCTCTGAAGAAGCCTTTTCTTTACCATTTTACATCCCTATTTTGTAGGTTTCTGTGGGGAATGTATATGACCAGAATTCTGAATCTTTGGAGTAGAGTATGAGGGTTGCTCTTATTGGTTTAACATGTTATTTTGCTTTTAAAAATATCTTCTTTGCTGTCTTTATCCTGAAGATGTATGTGGGTCATTAAAAGGAGACACAGAAATTCACAATTCAAGACCACTCTTGATGCTTACGTGGGGTGTTGACTAGAGAGGGTAGGTCTTTTCTTGGGAGATAAGCTAAAATACCTGTATGGATATCCAAGTGGCTCATAGGGAATTAGAACAAAAGTTAGGCAACACTCACCAAAGAGATGATTGGAAGAAGTTGAATATTCACCAGAGATATACACATGTGACCATACAAAATCTTGTCACATCTTATCTCAAGCCTCTAGCCATTGTTGATCTTTGTTAATGTATTACAGTTGCTTGGTAGGATTCCTACATAGTGCCATAAACTAAGTACCTTTAGAAAAATGGAAATGTACTGTGTCACACTTTTGGATGCCTGACACCTAAAATTAAATAATGAAGTTACTGCAAGATCATGTTTCATCTGTACTCTAGGGAATGATCAGGTTGGTGCTCCTACTCTAGATAGTACCTGGTGACTAGTAGAAGCACTTTACTGTGTGTGTGTGTGTGTGTGTGTGTGTGTGTGTGTGTGTGTGTGGTGTGGTGTGTGTGTGGCGTGTATGTGTGTGTGTGTGTATGTGTGTGTTTTCATGGTGCTGCTACATGTCTCCTATTAGAGGAAGTCAGTAGTCAAGCTTGAATGCTATTCCTCAGGTACTGCCCATCTTGTCATTTAATTTGTTTCTTTGCACTGGGTCTTTCATTAGTGTCTAGCACTCACTTATAGGCTGGGTGTCTAGCAAGTCCCAGGAATCCACCTGTATTTGCCTCCCTAGTTCTAGGAATTGATATATATTTTAGACCATTTGAATAGTCTTAAATGATCAGAAAATACTCAGTGTTTGTTGAATATTGGAATATATATTGTAACTTGTGCATATATGTTTTATATATGCATGTGTGTTAACCTACTAATGGCATCTATGGATGGATTCAGTTAATTTGAGATCAGAATTCCCAGCATTCATAGTATAATCTACTGGTTCATTGACTGATAATGAATTTTAACTCAGAAGCATTTATTAATAGGTAACATTAGAAGTTTTAACTCAATAATATCTGTCTATACTGATGTTGCCCCTTACCTTACATGGTCCTGCATGCGTCATTAGGCTGTTGGTGCACATCTCTGAAGCTTTTCTACATATCATGTGGGCTAATGTGTTTTAGGACCTAAGAGTTGACTCTGAGTCTATGATGGGGGAAATATAAAACATTAATAGTTATATTATAGATAAATTATTCACTTCATATTTTTGTTTTATATTGCTTTTCTAGTCAATAAACATAAGCCATGGATTGAGACGTCGTATCATGGAGTCATTACTGAGAACAATGACACAGTCATTTTGGACCCTCCACTGGTAGCCCTGGATAAAGATGCCCCAGTACCTTTTGCAGGTAAGATGACTGATAGTAAGCTTGGGATGGATTGATCTGGAGGCCTGATGTGAAACCTCCCCTAAGCCCAGCTAGGACCTAAAAGCTATTGTCGCCAACCTGTATAGGCACCCTGTGCTTTTCAGGATGTGCATGTCTTCTCATTGCTAGTGAGAACTCTTTATCGCACTATGGTTATTCTCCTTCATATTGCTTCCTCTGGAAGACCCACTCTCCTTCTTTTTGTATTTGTTTTTGTTGTTGTGTTCGTTTTGATTTGTTTTGTTTTTGAGACAGGGTCTCTCTATGTATCTCTGACTATCTGGGAATTTGTTATGTACACCAGACAGGCCTTGAATTCATGGAGATCAGCCTGCCTCTGTCTTTGCCTTCCGAATGCAAAGATTAAAGTCATGTGCCACATGTCCATTTTCTTTCTTCTAAGAGGTGACAAATTACTGAAGTGACCCCTAGACTAGTGAAACTCCTTGAGTGAAATTTGCTCCTAGAGAGATGGCCCGTAGGCATAATAAAATGAAGTAACCACTGTCCCCACCACCTGGGACCTTGTATCTTGGTAGATTGGCAAGAAAGGAAAAAATATAAAGCTATCAAAAATGACTTGCTAAAGGTCAGGTGATATTGTATCCTTGAGCTTCAACAAGAATGTGGCTTTTAGAGGAGGAATCTGAAGTCAGGTGCCCTTGTGTCTTTTGGCTGGAAGCTTTCTTGCTGTCTTCAAGGCCATTCCTGCTCCTCTCACCCTAACTTCCTGCAAAAGTCAGACCCTAGAAATTGTGTTTGTAGGATACTACACTATCATCTGTTTCCCTGGATTTGGGTAAAGACAAGGAAATAGACAAAGTCTTGGGTAGGAGGCCTTAGACAAAGAATGTCTGAGGGTGCCTAAATCACGAGGAATATTGTTAGGATTTTATAACTGTCAAGAGAGAGACAGGAAATTTAATGAAGGTTTTCAAAACCTCTAGAAGATTGCTTTATGATCGATGGGTGCCAGGCAGGGGTTTGCACCATGATGAAGTCTATTTTTTTCTGACAGTTTGTCTGTTACATTATGAGCTACTTGGGCAGAAAAAAAAATGACTCGCACTTTTAAGAGACATGCTCTGTGAAGGCCTTTTATTCATTACAGAAGATTATGATGGCAGGAGTGATGGGCTGGGTTAAACTCAGTGTTACGTGAAGGTAAGCCCATAAGCATTCTGACGGGGGGGGGTCCACTTACAAGGCTTTATCTTTATATAAAATGAAAACTACCAAGGGCACCTCACTGTGATTCCCGTGATGTTTAAAGTTGGAGATTTGGAATCTTCAAATGTCTTCCAAATGTTCTCCAACCAACTGACACTTTGAAGTACAACTCTCATGCCATTTTTTTGGTTTTTGGGTTTTTTTTTTTCTACAAAGGATGAGCTTCCACCCCTATCCTTCTTTGGCAGCCTAGAAATAATCTAACTCACATTCTTCTGGACATAGGTAATGTGGCAGTGAGGTTAACCAACACCTTTAATAATGTCTACAAATAAGACCTTTGAAGCAAATACCAGAAAAAATATTTTTGGGGTTATGTGAAATGCTTGGTTTAACTTTCAACATATGCATTATGAAACCAGTAGATTTATCTTATATTTTAAGATTCTGGTTAATCTAAATGAATCAGATATCAAATATATAGAGAGAGCTGTCACAATTCCCTCCCTCCCCCTCCCCCTCTCCCTTCTTCCCTCCTCTCCTTCCCTCCCGCCTTCCCTCACTCCATCCCTCCTTTCCTTCCTTCCTTCATTGCAAGCAGGGTATATTAGGGCTAGACTGAAATTCAGTATAGACCCAGGCTGTCCTCTAACCTGTGGTCTCTGGCTACAGCCGTCTGAGTACTAGGATCACAAATCTGTATCATAACACTTGGTCGTCTGCTTCTTTCATCCGTGGGTGAACTCCAGCTCCCTCCTAGCCCTTTATCTCACAGTGTATGTACAGGGACCTTCCCACCAAGTAGGGCTTAGTCTTTCCCCTCCCTCCTGGTGGTTGACCTCTCTTTCAAGCATAACAGAGTGAACTGCTGGCCGGGAGGCAGAGGAGTTCAAAGATGAGCAATGTGCCTATTCGCTGTGACTACCCCTCATGGACACTTTTTTCATCTGGTCATGAGCAAAGAGCTGAAGTCCACAGCAAAGTGGCCCATTCTCAAACAGAGAGGACACAATAAATTTAAATTCAAGCAAATCTGATATTTGAGAGTTTATGTTCACAGCAGGTTCCTTAGCTCCCTCGGTCATTAGGGCATACAGACAATTAAAAAATTCATCTGGAGATTCATCTGAGCATTCTTAAGTTGAAGCCTCATCAAGTGCCTTAAACTTGAGACTGTATTTTATCAGATTTGCTCACAGTTGTTCTGGCATGTTTTGAAACTAAGATTTGCCTCTCAGCCAAGCCCTGAGTAGCTATTTCCATCCAGAGGCAATTTCTATACTCCACCTGTTATTTTTGCAGCTGCCTTTAAAAAATCTGGCTTTAATGCATCAAAATATAATCTGCCAAGCTCTTAAGAGTAAAAAATAAAGGTGCTTTTTACTATGGCCAAAGCTATTTTTCTCAGTATTATTTATGGCCAGCTGTAAGACAGGACAGAGACACTAGCCATCCATCCAGCTATGGGCATTTATTTTAAAACATTTATCTTAAAAAGAAAATACTGAAGATTTATTTCAGATCCCTATCATTCTCATGAAATTGAAAAATTTATATCTGCCAGCTTCATCACCCTGCACGTCAACTGGAGCTTTTGGTCCCCCGTACCAAGCACTCTTGAATTAGGGGGTCACTTTTCCCAGCCTTCCCCTGCATCTTTACTTCCTACTCTTCTCCTGCATCTTTGCTTCCTGTCCAGTGGGTGAACTGAGCTAGGCTCCTGGAAGACCATTCCCTTCATTTTTTCTCTGTTTTTCCGTGATCTTCTCTGACCCTTTAGGATTTTTAGAAAACAAAAAGTTCTTCCATAAAAATTCTGTTTGAAAGTAATTTAGAATTATATGCTATTACAATCAATGCTCACTTAAATAGAAGGGCGAGCATTCATTGTAGAGAGCACGGCAAGCCACATGAGGTACACATACGAAAGCATAGAGACTCTTAGCATTTCAGTGTACTTCCTTTCAGTCATGTTTCTATTCCTTGTTAAAAATTACTGTCACATCTTGCATCTAATATTAGAATTCAATGTTACTGTTGTCTTTTAAATGATGTTAACGCTATCAATATCCTAATGAATGTTCTCGAGTTTACTTTTTCCAATTTACTTTTTCCAATTATTGTATCTATTTCCATTTCTATTTTTTTCAACAATTTGCCTTCCTGTGTCTACTGGTAGGTGTATTTTCAATAGTACAGTTAAATGGTCAAACATTTCTGAGCTCCTGAAACACATTAGATGGCTTTTCCAAAAGTAATTGTGTGACACAGAATTCCTATTCACACCATTTGAGTCCTCCTCCCCTGGATCCCATATTGCTCACTCTAATGGTGATTTGGTGACAGTGTGGCAAAGTAGCTGGCCGCATTATCTTTAATAATATCATCTGTGAATGATGGAGGCTTTCCTGACATTTAGTTTGGTAGGAATTTAAAGAGTGTCGACTGGGGGGGGTAGGATAGGGAGAAGAGGGAATCATGGGTGAGAAGACAGATCAGGCACCATTGTGACCTCTAGTGATCTAAATGGATGACACCAATTGACAAGCTAAGCAATAGTGTAGAGACCACCTCGAATGCCTATTCCTGATAGTGAACTTGATGTCTATACCCATCCTGGAGCTTTCATCCAGTGACTGATGGAAGCAGAGGCAAACACCCACAGATAAATACTGAACAGAACCCAAGGAACCCAGCGACAGAGAGAGAGGAACGAAGAGCAAATTGGCAAAGAATGGGCTGGCAAAACCAGCAGAGACAGCTGATCTGAACAGGGGAGAGCTCTTGGACCCCAGACCGACAGCTGGGAGACTAGCATGGGACCGATTCAGACCCCCTGAATGTGAGAGTCAATGAGGAGGCCTGGGCTACCTATGGGGTCCTGAGCTGTGGATCAGCGTTTATCCCTCGAATACTAACAGACATTGTGTGTCCATAACACAAAGAGGGTTGCTCTCTCTGCCTGGACTCTTAGGGAAGTGCCTGGACCCTACCCTGAATGAAATGATAGACTCTAGATATCCCTTATGCGGAAGGAATTGGCAATAGGGTGGGAGGATGGGGGATGGTGGGGGGTGCGGGAGGAGGGGAGGGAGAGGGAACTGGGATTGACATGTAAAACAAGCTAATTAAAATAAAAATATTAAAAAGAAAGAAATTTAAAGAGTGTCTATGCCACATGTTCCGAAAATGGTGAGTGTTTAATGAATTGAAGTTTCCATCTTCAGCCTTTTATACCTGCCAAAGTAACTTGCCCAGTATTCCTGGTGAACCTGAGGTAGGGACAGGAGCCTATCTCCTGTAGGACACTTGGATTTCCTGTCTCTGTGATCTTGCTTTGAATCCTTCTCTCATGAGACTTGAGCCAGTTCTATTAAACTTGCTTGGCTCACTTCTCAACTTGGAGTCTGGGTTCTGCAGATTTGACCTTCTTAAAGAAGCAGACACAGAAAACTCTTCAAGTAATAATGGAAACCCTGTCCATTGCAAGACAAAAAAAATGGTAATGAAAGCAGGCTGGGTGCACCGTGAACTTATTAATTTCCACATGTGCCCCACTGAGGCCTGTTAGGAAACTGTGGAGACTTTTAAATTTGAGGGGAATTAGCTGGCCTTTCAGAGATAATAGAACTACTCCTCATTTGTCTCCATTGGGCCATCTAGACTTGTCTCTAGTAAGGACAGGGGTGCAGAGGATGATCAGGCATAATTGGCCAGCTTTGTGGGCAGAGTTAGTCTCTGAAGACAGCCCAGAAAATTGTCTGGAATATGATTTGACCTGGTTTGATTAGTTGGTTACAGTGCTGGCT